GCGGAAGTCAATCAACAAGATCCTGATCTCGGATCTCGGCAATACCTCAGCCTGAACTTCACCAGGTCGGGTAGCGCAACGGAAAATCAAAATGAAAACAGGAGAGAGAGAAGAAGAACACAACCAGATTTAACGTGGGAAAACCTTCTCCAATGAAAAAGTAAAAACCCACGGAACCTAGTCCAGATCAAAGATCCACTATGAAAATAATGGTTACAAATAATCAAATACACAAATGTGGTGGTTAACTCAACCTCTCCAACAATGGTGATAATCAAACTACCCTAGAGATGTTTCACTCAAACTCTCTCTAGAGATCTCTCAAATGCAAAGCATAAAGCTTTTGCTCAAACAATCAAATAATTCTCTCAAATTTGTTCTCTCAAATCTGACCTAACCTCCACCCTCAACTAATGAGTATATATACAGGAGATGGACATTAGGGTTGAGGTTTTTAGAAAACCCCTCAAATGGACTTGGGCTTAGCATTGAAGGAGGAACCCCAACACTAACTATCGTTCCATCCTATGTTATATCTCTTTTCCTATCTTCTTTGCTTTCTTTTGTCCTTTGTGGCCCCTTCATACTGATCCAAACAAACATAAAATCTATTTTTTTTCCCCAATCTTCTTCCTCTGAGGATAACATAAATATCTAAAGCTATAGGAAGGGGATAAAAGCGAAGAAACGTTTTGGTACTTGTAAAAAATAGCCAAGCCAAACTGTTCTCACGTTTTGCATTGGATCTCTGAAAATTATGGGCACCGGATGGAGAAGAGCCTTTTGCACTCGCGACCCACAATCCACAATACATAACCAACACAGAAGCCAAAGTCCCCCTCCAACCTGTGTCAGTCTGGGTTTTCTTTCCAGCACTAGCAACCCTTCGACACCACCACTGCACCATCAACAATCAGCAACCGCAAATGACAACCCCAGATTTCAAAGCAAAAGCACACCAAACTCAAATCCAACCTCTCCTCGCTCCCCTAATCTCAAACTCTCTCTCTTCAAGAATAGCTTCAAATTCAGAGTAAGATTTTCATATTCCACTCACTCATCCTCGTATAATAGAAAATTCGAAACCTCTTCTTTATTTATTTATTTATTTATATTTTTTTGGTTTTTGTGTAACAGAGTAGTTGCGGAATATGTTTGAATAGCGTGAAGACAGGACAGGGCACCGCCATTTACACTGCAGAATGCGCTCACGCTTTTCATTTTCCCTGCATCGCTTCCCATGTACACACCCACGGTATCCTCGTTTGCCCTATCTGCAACGCTACCTGGAACGACGTACCACTCCTCCAACAAAACGACGACATCGTCGTTAACACCATCCAAACTCAAATCAACCACCAACAACAGCCGAGCCATTCAGATTCGGTCAGGTCCTACGACGACGACGAGCCTCTCCTTTCTCCTTTCACAGTCTCTGGCCAAATCGTTCCCATTCCGGAAGCAGACGAAAACGGCGAAGAAGAAGACGAAAACGACGACGCAGGCGAGTTCCAGGGCTTTTTCGTCAATCCAAAACCTCCATCATCGTTACAAATAAACGACGGTGATTCAAGGAGCGTTCGGGTGAAGTTGATGCCAGAGTGTGCTGTTATATCAGTCTCTCGGAGCCACGAGACTTATGCTTTGGTTTTAAGAGTGAAGGCTCCGCCGCCTTCGCCGATGTCGCAGCGGGCGCCGATGGATCTCGTGACGGTGCTTGACATTGGAGGCAACATGACCGGTGCGAAGCTTCACATGCTGAAGAGCGCGATGCGCTTGGTTATCTCCTCTCTCGGCTCGGCTGATCGGCTCGCCATTGTGGCTTTCTCGGCTACATCCAAACGGCTGCTACCTTTGCGGCGAATGACGGCTCAGGGCCAGCGTGTGGCTCGGCGCGTTGTCGACCGCATCGTCTCTGGCCATGGAAACAGCGAGGGTGAAAGTGAAGCTCTGAGGAAAGCCACGAAGGTTCTCGAAGACCGGAGGGAGAGAAACCCGGTCGCTAACGTCATGATCCTATCAGACGGTCACGATGGGAAGGTGCAAACCGGTAACAACACCATTCAACGGAAATGCCTCAGCCACGTGTCTTCTACCCGGTTCGCAATTATTGATATTCCGGTTCATTCGTTTGGGTTCGAGATCCCGGTTCATTCGTCTGGAATATTAAGTGCGGTTGTGCAGGACTTGAAAATTCAGTTTGGCTTTTCGGCGCCGGCTGAAATCAGCGCTGTCTACACGTGCGGCCCAAGGCCCACGGCGCTGAGCACGTGCACGGCTGGGCTCGGCGATTTGTACGCTGAGGAAGAGAGGGAGTTGTTGGTGGAGTTCAAAGTGCCCACGTCAGCATTGGGGAGCCACCACGTGATGACGGTGCGGTGCCTATATAACGATCCTGCGAGTAATGAGGTAGTGTACGGTAGGAAACATGCGCTTCCGGTGTCGCCGCCGCGGAAGAGTGCGGCGCATTCTGTTGGCAGAGTCGAGAGGCTGAGAAACGTGTTCATAACGAGCCGAGCCATAGCTGAGTCTCGGAGACTCGCGGTGCACAGCGAGTTTTCAAGTGCTCATCATTTGCTTGCTTCGGCTAGAGATGTTCTGGTGCGGTCTAGCTCGGCTTCGGCTCAGGAATATTTGCGCGGCTTAGAAGCTGAGCTTATGGAGCTACATTGGCGGAAGCAGCAACAACAAACGATTTTGATGCAACGGAGGAGAGGGAGGGAGTTGAGTTTGGTGGATGAGAATGGTGAAGCGCTGACGCCGACGTCGGCTTGGAGAGCAGCTGAGAAGCTGGCTAAGATAGCCATGATGAAGAAGTCGATGAATAAAGTCAGCGATTTGCACGGCTTCGAAAACGCTAGGTTTTAATAATGTTTAATTGTTTTTCACTTAAAAAAAAAGAAAGAAAAATGTTGGTTTAAGAGAAAATATCAAAATGAAAAAAATAAAATAAAAAATGTTGTAGCATAGTTAGAGAAATGGATCATTATTAGGTGATGGGGCTTGGGAATGGAATGGGGACAAGTCAGGGGCAGACGGTCCTTTCTGCGCAGGAAGATTACTATGGAGAAAAAGTGTCATGTGTTATACAGTATAATCAATAATGGGGAATGTGCATACCCCAACCTAAAAAACGCAAAAATTGATTGGATGATTGCTGGGGGACTTGTCCTTTTGTCCTGTGCTTTTGAATTTTAATTAATCCCTGTTGAGGATCAGAATTTAGACCAAAGATACACTAAAACACTCAAATTAGCACAGATAAAATTGCTGGCATGTAACGCATGTTTGATGCTGGGTATGGAGATTTTACTGTATGAATGACAAAGTTGTAAATGCTGCGATAAAATCACTTTTTTCTATCCCTCCCCTTTTTAGTTTTTAGCTTTTGTGGAATGAACATCTTGTCTAATGGTTTGTGGGGTTAATGATTATGATTTCGACTAAGAACGAGGGTAAAATTCTTAAAGTGATCTTTTGGATAAATCATATGGCAGAGGACAGGATATAAGATAGAGTGGGTTGGACGAATAATGATAAACAAATGATTACATTGCACAATAATTGGATACCTTTACAATGTTGTATTGCAACCCCTTTACCTTAACCATTTACGATAAAAATATAATGCAATTATTACAGACACACCACCTTTTGCTAGCTTTCTCTATAGTAATGGTGGAAAAAAAGAGGGTCTCTATATTGGGGAAACAAAATTCGCTTACAGCAATCTATGGCAGGTGCATGGACTAGTATTAGTTTAATATGCTAAACTAATTTTCTTTTATCGAAAATCTCGATTTTTAAAAATATAATGAAAACAGTTTATGATAATGTCCGAAAATTAAAAATTTAGAAAAATTTAATTTTTCGAAAATCCTGAAAAATACCAAATATCAAATGTCACCTAAAGAATTATCCGATCGACATGGGCATGAAAGAGAAGTATTCTTTCTATTCGGTTTGCATATTACTTTATATGTTTTCCTCGAGTTTCATCAAGAAAAGCAATTGAATAATACCATCTTTGATCATTGTGAGTGGGAGCACCTAATGATTAAATGGTCCTGACCATATTAAATTTTCTCCTACCTCAAATGTGGAAGCCGCAAACTCACTCACAAATCACAAGCTTTAGATAGATATGATCAAAGCTAGAGGGGGTTCATAAATGAGATGCTTGATTGCTCGTATTTCATGACAATTCAATTCGTCTTATTCGAACAGCCTGTGTCAGTTAGCTTAGTTTCCAGCTTTTGACAACTAATTTTTACCTACTTCCTGGGCATGTAAGTACGCATTGGCAAAATATAGTCTTCGATAATAAATGGAGAAAAGTTAGTTAGCAACAAGAGGGATCTTATCGAGAGATGTGGAACCCAGCAAGTGTCTCGTGCGTTCAATGCATCGTTATCTGCTTTCGTCTTCCTGGCATATAAGAACCTGATCTTTACAATACACCATTACACTTTTTTCTTTGCAAAAAATAAATAAAAAAAGGAAAAATACGTTTCTTAGTGCTTAATAATGCCATATTGATTTAAAAACCAAGTTCATTGTATTAAAAATTGTAATTATTAATATGAATAGTGGAGAGCACTGCTTCTGAATTTTTGTTGTGGGAGTTTAACGATTCAGACAAATGAAGATGAGTAAATAACAATTAACAACATTCCTGACACTGACACTGTGGAATAAACATTTTAGGCATATTTGTTGTGGTAAAACCGTAAGTTTTATAAGGCTCACCTTCTTAATTCCTCGCTGAATGTGAACTAATGCTAACTTTTCAGCAATAGTACGAAACAAGAAGACACACCGAGAATTTGCGTTTACAATCTAGAGAAACATCAAAATTCGACCAACCAGAGCTGTGAAAAAAAGGAGCATAAAGAAAGACAACCAAAACTAATCTCGGCTAAGTACAGAAGCTCAGTAAATTAAACAATTAACATTCCCGGTACAGGGGATAAATTTAGGCATAGATTATTGGGAAATGTTACTTTTCAGCAGCAGGAAAGAAAAGTTATCTGTTGCAGTCACATGATACGATTCCGTATCCTGAAAAACACGTGTTAGCTGAAGATAACTTCTCTCAAGCAACGCAACAAGAGATTAATAGAACCCTATATTATTTGAGATAAATACAAATGTCGCCGTAACTCTCTATTTTGTATAATACAAACTACAAACCCAAATGGCTATGGAAGAACATGGTGTAAATACATGACCTCAAAGCCCAAACGAGAGTTGGGCCAAGTAGACACTGAGAAACAAAAACCAATTGAAGCTCCCTCAGGAATAGAGAAGATTACATGATTCCGAATCCCTCAGGAAAAATAAATGAGTGTAATCAATGAGATTGGTGTCAGTGTCAAATCTCACCATGGTTTTGCTCCACCTTGGCTCTAATCTTCTGCTCCAAAACAAATATTTCAGTCTCAAGGCTGAACATTCTATTCAAAGCATGCATGTTCTCAAGGGTCTCATCTAGAGTCCTGCTATCACTCCCATCACACCTCAAGTGTTGCATTGGACCATGAAGCAACTTATTCACTATACCCCTGCTAAGATCATCCACAGCTCTTCTTGTCTTCTTTGGGATATCATCACCCATCTTACCTAGGCATTTCTCAAGCTCAGCAACCCTCACTCTTTCAGCATAAGCCCTCAATTTCTTAATGGTAGGAACTGTTTCCAGCGAGTCCCTCCAAGCCTCAAATTGTTTTGATTCTTCACCAATGATTGCTTGAGCTTCCATAGCTTTTCTTAGCCTATCCTCTTTATTAGCAGCTACAACCTCTTTAAGGTCATCAACATTGTAAACTCTCACGGACTCAATATCTGAGACACATGAACCCACATTCCTAGGAACAGATATATCAATGAAAAGTCGATGTCCACCATCTTCATGACTCGCTGGAGGAAGGTCCTTAACATGATCTTTCAAGAACAAAGGGTTTTCTGATGCTGTGCTGGTGAAAACCACATCTGCTTCACCAACACAGGTAAGCATTTCTGAAAGTGGTTTGTAAATTATCTCAATTTCCTTTAGTTCTTCACGGATTGCTGCCACTCTCTCCTCAGTTCTATTGACAACAACCATCTTTGTACAACCTTTTGCTACCAAATGTTTGATCACAAGCTTTCCCATCTTGCCAGCTCCAATAACCAACATCCTGGCAGTGTTTTGTGAGGCTTCAGGTAGCTTCATCAAGGCCAATTCAACAGCAGCTGAGCTTACAGAAACAGCCCCAGCAGCGATGTTAGTCTCAGTTCTAACCCTCTTTCCAACAGTAATTGCATGCTTGAATAGGCCACTAATGTTTCTCCCAAAGCCATTAACTCCTTGTCCAACTTTGACAACTTGCTTGACCTGGGCAAGGATTTGACCTTCTCCCAATACAAGAGAGTCAAGACCTGCAGATACTTCAAAAAGGTGCTGTGTCGCATCTTTGTTGTAAAGCAAAAATTGATGCTGGCAAAGCTCTGAAACAGGGATCCCACTTGTCTGCAAAGTACAGAACAGGAATGTCCAATATCTATTAATTAACATCAATATAAACTTGTAATGCAACCCATTCAACCCAACAACATAAATTTAAGCTTGTAAATGACGTTTACATTAATAATTTTATATTAGACTCCTCTAACACACCCCATCACACAAGAGTTCATTGAACTTGAAGGGTGAATAATGCATGAATCCACTTATTTGGGCTAAAAATTTCTACGGTTAAATATTTGTTAGAAGAGTGGCGGCAGTAAGAATCAAAGTTGTGACCATTGGTTACAAGCTCTTATAGCATATAATGCAACCAATTCAACCACACAACTTAAGCTAGTAAGTGATGTTTGCATTAATGAAGGATGAACAACTTAAGAAAAAATAAATAATAAATAACTCCATCCTAAGACAAATGCACAATATATTTCACACTCCATTAAGTCTTCTTTTATTTCACTTCTAGGTCCAATATCTATTGATGCACAAGAAAAAACCATCTACGAGATAAATTTGAGAATAGACTTACTTTTGACATCCATTCGGTGACTTCTTTGACACCACGGTGCTGGGAGAGAGCAACAACATATATCTCCATTCGGTTGCAGGTGCTCAGAACAGCTGCTTCTTCAATATGATTCAAACTACAAAGCTCCCCAATGGCTCTAGGCCATTCTGCTTCTGGTATGGCAAGTTTTTCACGCATTTCCACAGGCGTTGTATGCACGCTTAGTCCAATAACCACAATGCTGGCCCTTTCCTTTGTATACCCTGTTCAAGTTCAATTTTATAAATCATTTAAAACCAATTTAATTCTATAAACTAATTAAAAATTGCATCTTCCACATAATTAGCCAACTCTTATTTTCTTTCTTTCATTCTTCTTCTTTTTGGGCAATAAAATAACCCTGTCTTTCTTAGTTCCTATATGTTTCACATGGTGTTGATTATTTCATTCAAAAATAAAAAAATAATTATGGTTAAACATTAAAAAAAAAAAAACATTAAGAAGAGGACTAACTATCTGCTGCAGAAGTCTTGAGCTGCTCGAGAGCAGAGACACTGGTAGCATTATTACTGGGATCAACAATGATATTGGAAGCAGAAGAAGCCTCGCACCGAATTGTCCCTCTCTGACTCTGAACGAGGGTCCTTTTGTTTTTGCCAAAAATGGTAGCATTGGAGGGCCTTGAAGACAACACTGACGATGATGATGAAGAGGAACAACATTTGAGCAACAAAGCCTCCAACTTTACGCATGAGAAACTGGTTGAAAGGGCCATTGTTGATCCCACAAGAGAGAAATGTATTGGGTAGCTGTTGAAATTGAAGGAAATGGAATCTCAGGTGAGAGGATGTTAGGTAGAGTTAGTTGATGCCAAAAGGCAAAAACCTCTTTTTCTTTGTTTGGTTTTGGTTTTGGTTTGGGCCTTTGTGGAAATGAAACAAGAGATGTGGTAGAAGGAAAAGGGTTTGGACAGATATGAGAGTGTGATTTCTGTGAGTTCTGATTGGGTAGTGAAGCACCCGTTTTATCCACACTCCTTCCCAATATCAGCATCTCACCCTCTCTTTGGTTTATTCCCTTCTCTATTATTTTATTTGATCGTAGTTTTTGTCTTTACACAAAGGGTAAGAAAGTTAAAGTGTTAAAAAAAAAAAAAAAAAACTCAATAAACAATTTAGAAGTGATTCAAGCTTTGAAAATTGTGAATTAATGTGATACAGACAATATCTTTGACGTGGACATGAAAGGTTAATCTGAAAATTACGTTTTACAACTTACAAGTATTCAATTTGCGGAAAATTAACAATATTTAAACCTTGCGCGGCGTTTATGGTTAATGATGTGATCGTTCACATCAGCATGCATGAGATTTTAAAAGTGCATAGGAATATCAAAAATCATTTGGAAAATCTGAGAGATTGGTATTGAGAGAAAAAGATAAGGTGAAAAGAGATGGGGCGTGGTAGATATGTGGTAGAGATTGGTTTCTAGGATTTCAAGGTTTGTGTTTGCCACATCTTTCATTAGAAAGTCGTGGACTACAGCCGAACTTACATTTCAGGATTGCACTTCAGATTTTATATTTGGATTTTAGTGTTTGTTATTTTAAATGACATAATTATTATGTCATTTTAGGAGAGAGATAGACACAAGAAATGAAAATCATAGAAAAAAAAGTGGATGATTTTTTTTAATTTAAATTTTAAATAAAAAATATTATTTTGTGTCTATCGCTCTTAAAATGACATAATTTTATGTCATTTAAAATGTGTTTCCCTTTATATTTACCTATATATATGAAATTATAATTAATAATTAAAAAATAACAAAATAAATTAATAAGCCATTAGGAGAAGTGGAGTGACGAGGAACTTAGATGATTTGCGTAGGGATATAAATTGAAATTTAAGGGTCATTATTGTATAAAAAAAGGGAGTTATTAATTTCATCATTTATTAGATAGTATATATATATATATATGATGAGATAAATATGTGGGGTCCACACTTTAAAATAAAGGAAAAAGAAATGGAAAAAGCTGGCACAAAATTCGATGGGTGTATAGCATGAGATAGCTATCTCCAACGAAATGAGAAAAATATTTCCCATAAAAAAATTAATAATTTCATCATTTATTAGATACATATATATATATATATATATATATATATATATATATATATAATTTTAATAAAAAAATTAATCTTAGACTTTTTTTTTACAAAATAAATAAATAAATCTCACTTTAACTGAACAAAATCTAAGATTTTCAGTAGGCTTTGTGTCATTTACATTTGTTGCTGCAGTAAAAACTTTATACTGCCTTTTCAGTAGCTTCAACAAGTAATTTTATTATCAATTCTTAAAGGGCACATACACAATATATTTTCATTTGATTCAACTATGAATCCCTTTGAATATGCATTATTACGAAGACTAACTTCTGAAGGCAAAAGCAAAAAACGGGGCAGAAAGTAATCGTATGATTTTTTCAAGAATGGTGGGAGATATTAATAAAATTGACGAAAAAGAAAAAGAAAATAGATGTTGAAATTATAATTTAAATTTTTAGAAGAAAACATGAGAAGAATAAAATTTTCTTCAATCTATTAAAATAAAGAGTAAATCTATCATCTCTTGTATTTTGTGTGTATTTCTCATGTATTATCTATATGATGAAAACATACACCCTACACGCATTTATAAAAAATACTATAATTAACCTAAAAATATTCTTTAACCTAACAAATTTCTTAATTAAACTGTTATTTTATAAAGGTTCGTTTTTTCTGCAGTTACTGCAGATAAATTATCTGCAGTAAGTCCAAAACGACGTCAAAATCATTGTATTTTTGTAATTTTAATTTTTTTCAAGGTTATTATAGTTTTTATAATTATAATTTTCTAATATTTCAATCCCAAAACAACGTCATTTTGGAAGTAAATGCAGATAACTTATCTGTATTAACTGCAGAAATATTTTTCTGATTTTATAATTATATAATTTTTTTTTGACAAAAATGTCATTCCAAATACAAACAAGTTGTTTAAAAAATATAGAAATTGGCGTTTTAAAAATATAAGAGCATTAAATTAAGGGTTTTATTAATCTTAATGTTAAAGGAGATAAATTATCTCATGTCATAGAGATAAACTTGTGGGCTCCACCACCTGAAAAAAAGGTAGCACAGTTATCGAAGGGTGTGTAGGAGATAAATTTACCACATGTAATATAAGAGTAGTTTTTTCCTTAAATGAATCATCTAATATTAATTTTCACTATGAAATTAATCTTTAAAATGATAACAAATTGGCTATTGAAGTACAAAATTAATAACATCGACTATCATTTAATGACTAGTTTAGCTTGGTTGATAAATGTTAGACAAATGTGTTGTTGCATAAATTTTTGGAGGACCAAAAATGGATGATTATTCTTTTAAAAGCGTTAACCTGACGCTTGCAATAGCGCTATCTATGCCTAACATCTGTATATACTATATAGTATGGACAGTATTGCGTTTGACCTCGGCGTACACAAAATTTTCCAAGTTGCTTATCAATAAAAATAATTAAAAAAAAAATGCCTAGTTGCATTTTTTTTTTCCTCCTTCAATCTCATGGTGCGAGTATTTATTTTTGTGCTTTACATAAGGAAATCATATGCCTGAACGGCTGAACATATATGTCTTGCTGAGGACCTGACAAATGCTTTGCGTTTCTCAACTTTGCTTCAAACATTATCAACAACAACATTCAAAATTATGATTTATATTGAGGATGCTTTAGCTCGAATCAACATTCCTTCCGTTGTGTGCATACCATGGGAGCGTCCCAAAATAATTGTTCAACTTGCAGCCTACATCTTCTCGAAACATGATGATTCTTCACCACATGTTACGTTTTGGGATCCGGAAAATAAAAATCGTTTATTTTGTTGCATGAAGCTAACTACTTTCCAATTATACTATAGAGTTAATTGAGGGATTACCTTTTTTTTATCTAATATATGTTAAAATTAAAAAGCGCTGAGCTTCTTCAAAGTAATATTGAAATTGGTTCACTTTGTTTAATTCTAGGCTACATTATTTCAAAAATTAATATCTCCCACATGCTATCTTTGGAAATAATTTAAATAATTTTATTTTTTATCCACTCCACACTCCGAATTAAGGGCTTCACAATTTTTTTACCAGTTATTTTTTATAATCGTGCAGCATTTTTTTTTTTTTTTTGATAAATAGGAGTCTCACATAAAATATGTTTATAGTATGAGAAAATTTCCTTCTATTGTATGAAAAAATTAAAACCCTATATTTGGATGTTATAAAGAGCAATAAGAAAAACAAAATATTTATGGAAAAATTATTTATTCTTTTAAAGAAGCTAAAATTATGTTTTTTTTTTGTATGAACCTAAAGTTTTGTCCTTTTAAACTAAACTACATCGTTTCACTTGTAATTCCTTCTTGTTGCTTTTAATTTCTTTGTTATCACTTTCTCAGTTTTTATAAATAAATTTGTTCAATTGCAACCTTACCGTTTAGCTTAGGAAGAAAAACTCATGCATTTTCTCTTCATGCAACAAAAATCCATTAATGAATTTCACTTCTGCTTTTGATTTTAATTTCGATTTGTAGTGTTTCGAAATGGATTTCTCTAATTTGCATTTGGGTATCAGTTGCTCAGATTTGCTGGAGAACAAGGAGTTCATCGAGATTGGAATTTGGAATAGGTGTTTGTTTGATTAGGGCACAATTCTTCTTGATCTGAAAACATAGTGATATGAATGGGCTCCCTAGTCTAGAAGTGGAGGGTGAAGAAAAGGACCAAGAGGATGTTGATATGGGCTGGGAAGAGCATGCTATGGGTCATCAAGTAAGCCCAAAGACCAGATGGTATAGAAGGGAAAAAATGAGGCCTAAGTGGATGAATGACTTTGTGGTGCAGTGAATTGAGTCACAGATGAAGGGATGCGTTTCTTTGAGTCTGTTCGCTGATGTATGTGTGGTGTAGCTGAATTCTGTTATTAGATTCTACTGCTCCTTGCGCGACCTTTCTGTTATGTAGCGGCTAGGTATTTTCTGTTATAAATTCAGACTTCTTTTTAATAAAAAGATGAAGTATATACTTATAATTTATTTTCGTTTACAATCTTTTACAATTATATCTTAACAGTTGATTTTCGTTAATCAATGGTTATCATTTATTACGAAATAATAATTAATTAATGAGTTTGATTTGCAAAAATAATAATTGTTAATTGACGAAAATCAACGACTAAGATATAATTGTAAGAAATTGTAAAAATAAATAAATAAGTCATAAGTATAACTTTCTTCTAATAAAAATAGAGAAATTATTCAGAAACCTTTGGGTTAAAAAGAGGAAGTCTTCTCTCGAAGAAAGACAATTTCTCTTGTATCACATAGGCAATGGAATAAAATCGAAAATGGAAGCAAAAAGGTGTTTGCTTTGGTGAAACCCAAGAGAAATTGCAGAGAAGGAAACACCATGAATCGATGTACCCACCTGGCAGTGGTGGACTCAAGGAAGTTGTGTTTATGTTCACACACTTAGTGATGGGGGTTTAGGGCCAACGCCCCCAGAATTTATTTTTTTTCGTAAAGAAAGTTTAAATCAACTTTTATATATAAGGTTATGAACTCGCTAAGAATCTAGTTGCTTCCATAACAAGCTGCAGGCAATAGTTTGACCAATTATTTACCCCTCTCCTCCCCCCAAATTTTTTTTTTACCAATCCTCCAAAATAAATATGAGCATATACTCCAGTACATTCATACATCATCGTTCTATTTATAATGATGAATAAAAAAGTCAACACTACCTATACAGAAGGCAAGCAAAATCACAGTGAATGCCCTCATCTCTAGAGATTAACTCACTTGAGAATGTCAAACCTGACATCAATCCTCTATTTTTAAGTCAGAATAAGGCACAGAAGCTGAAAGCAAATCCCAAATAAAAAAAAAAGTCACACAGAAAGTAGGACAAGACTCATTATATATCAACAAGAAGAGAAAATAAAACTTCAACTTAACATAAAAAAATAGTAATCAAGAGTCAACTAACCTATAGCATATAAAACGATTACAAAACCATTCTTCGTTTTTTCATTCTTTGAAAATATTGCATTATATCTTCATCATCAATCTTATCAAATATATCACGTTCAACATAAGTTAGCATGCATGCGTTAAACCAATCATCACTTATCCGATTACGCAACTTATCCTTAACAAAAGTCATTGCAGAAAAAACTCGCTTAACACTAGCAATTGCTATCGGTAGAATGAGTGCCAACTTTATCAACAAATAGACTAATGGATAAACAATATCCTTTATCTTCTCAACCAACTTCAAAGCAAGGTCAGAAATTCTTATCAAATTTACAAAATCAGAATTAGCTCTTACATGAACAATAAAATTACTGAGACTTGAAGAAAAAAAAAGGAATATCTGCAAGCTCATTAAACTCCATAGGATAAAATCTAGCAAACTCAATCAACTTTTCTTTGTTAAAATTAGCAAAGGAATCACGAGGATCAAGACAACTCAAACACTCAAGCAACTTGGTATTGACATTATCAAATCGATCACCTAACTCTTGAACCTGAGTATCTATCACTCTATTAAATAACTCCACCTTAAAGTAGTGCATGAACGTGAATGATTCCAATCTTCGTCTTGATCTCCCTTTAGGACAATAAACATCCTCAATATTTGGAATGTCAATATCATATTTATTTGCAAAAATGCTCGTTTCTTGAAGCAATTCATCAAAACCATTATCTCTCACCTCTTGTAAGCGAGATTTGACTACCCTCACTAAACCAATTGCATTTAAAAGGTCTTGATCTTTTCTTTGTAGTGCTTGTGAAAACTCATAAGAAATTCCCAAGATAAGTTGCATAAGATGCAACAAGAATGCACACTCAAAATCCTCCATGGCATACAAAATGCAACCTGCATCAGTTCTTGCAGCATCATTCTTAGGCTCGTCTTTAATAATTTTCATCAACAAAATTATTGGACAAAATAATGAGATAACACTTGTAACTGTACCAAAATGGGAACCCCAACTAGTGTCTCCAGGTCGCTTTAAGGTTGTCTCTTGATTTAAACCTTTTCCAGTTGGTATTTCACCACGAGCAATTCTTTCAACTATTTGCTTGTATTGATTCATTTGAAGAATTTCCTTCCGCTTGCATGAATCCCCCACAATGGTAGCCATCTTTTGAAGCATGTCAAAAAATTCTTGAATCTTTTTGTGATGTTTTGCAACCTTCACAAGTGCCAATTGTAACTGATGAGCAAAACAATGAATGTAGAATGCAGATTCGTTGTCTGCCAAAATCAAACTCTTAAGCCCTTTGAATTCATCCCGCATATTACTAGCACCATCATATCCTTGATCGCGACATTTAGACAAACTTAAACCAAGTTTAGAAAATAGCCCATCAATCGCTGCTTTTAGTGATTGTGCAGTAGTATCTGAAACATGAATTATGCCAATAAAACATTCAACAATGGACCTTTTTTGTTTACATACCGAAGAACAATTGCCATTTGTTCTTTAATTGCAATATCACGAGCTTCATCAACTAGCAAGGAAAAGTAATCATTGCCGAGATCACTAATTATTGCTTTAATAGTCAAATCAGCACAAGCTTGAGCAAGATCTTTCTGAATTTTTGGTGAAGTCAATTTGTGATTATCGGGGGCATTTTGCAAGACCACATGACTCATCTCTTTATTTGGCTTAGTATAAAACTTTAGAGTTTCAAGAAATAAACCTAGTTGATTTGAACTTTCAGATTCATCATGTCCCCGAAAAGGCTGACCATTTTGTAATAGGTATCTAGCACAATCTAAAGAAGCTTTCAGCCAAATATGATAATCAATTCTTTGTTGTTCAGAAATATTTGAAAAGGCAATATCAATATGTTGCTTTTGCTTCATCAAATCTTGACAAGCTTGATAACATTTATTGTTAACCCTCCTATGATCTCCAACATGAACTTTGATTCTATCCTTCTTCTGCCAATTTTTGAACCCCACACCGACAAATGCTTCCTGCGTCGAACCACTACCTCCAACCTCTATATCAAATAGATAACAATACAAGCAAAAACAAGCATGTGTTGATACACTATACTCCAACCAAGAACCAAATTCTTCATACCACTTAGGATTGAATCTCCGCATTTTTTCATACATTTCCACTTGAGGGAATGGTTTAAGAATTGGATGAGTTGGCCCCTTGAGCAAATAAGCTCTCCGAATATCCTCTCTCTCTCTATAGGATTTGATGTCATTGAATAAATTGAAGGTCTTTTTCCCGGATCCGCTTCAAGATTTTCTATATTAACATTTTGTCTCTGAGGTTGATAGGATTCTTGAACAATTGGAACTGAAATACAATTTGAAACTTGTGCACTTTGAGATTCGGGTTCTGTATTTGTGGGTTTTAGACGTTTGAAATAAGATTGTATCCCTAACAAATCATAATTTATACTTAAATCAATTATACTCATTATATTATAACAAATAAATAAATATAGAAAGTTACCTTTCATTGAGACTTGTTGAATTACTACGAACCCACAATTGTTTGTGCTCTCAAATCTCAATGTTCAACATCATGATCCAATTTATCCTACATTACCATGAAACAAAAATCAATTACAGAATCAACAGAGAACTGGTACTTAAATTCTTAAAATAGGCAACACTGTACATGATAAAAGAAAGAGACATTAGAGAGAAATATAGAAGCTGTTTCAATCAGCTAAATGAGGAATGTATAAACTTGATGAGATAAAATAACTAGTTAATACATAGAACATAGCCATGATTTCAGTTTAAAAATGGTAAATTGTATTAAAACAATAACAAGTTCAAGTTTTAATTTTTTCACACAACCCTTATAGGATTCACTCCATTTTGAGCTATGGTACTCTGTTTCACAAGTTCAAGATAAAGATAAAACCATCATGAGTTCAACCAATAACAACTAAGGCTTGTTATGTTTTTTTCTCAAAGGAAAAAAATAATGATGAACTTAGATTTATTCCCTTAAGGCCTTGCAAAGAAAGTACAAACTTGAAAAGTACTAGTGTTCCAATTTTGGTTGAAAAGAATGAAAATCTTACAAAAAGTATAAGCTTGTTGAAATCATCAATCAAAAGGAGAAGTATTTTTTGTTTTAACATTAGACACCATTTTTGTTGAATTTTTTTGCAATATTTGCGACCTCTATGTTAACACAAGACCTTGCTAAATCTGGATGCTTTTTACATGACATGTTCAAACAAAAAATAGAAATGCAAAATGGTAGCATCAACAAACTTAGCACTCAAAATCAACATAAAAGAACATGAGAAAGCTAAGGCATCGAAAATTATCAAATTCCTAAAGCACAACCTTGTTAAATTACGTCCTGTGCCAGTTTTAAGTCAATTGTGTCGGTTCAATTCAAAATAACATTACACTACCAAATAATGGCTAAAACTTTTCATTAACATACAAAATATTATTTTGACTTGAGGATCTCAGCAGTAAATATAGGGCTGGAAAAAAAAATAAAGTTCATCGGATTGCATGGAAAGAACTAATTATACAGCTTTATATTCTATATCCGGTAATTTTGAAAATCCTCTTGGATTGACAGGCGTTGTGATGGTTACATTGAAGGCATTATGGCTGGTGAGTTCCACCCCTACCAAAGAATACGAGAGAACAGAAAGACTAGAAAAAAGAAAAAATTCAAACCATATACCATCTGTCTGTATGATTGATACCAAGTCCATTGCAGGTTAGGATCATTCTTTTAAATCTGGCAAGATATTCCTGTGTAGCAATTAGACATGCACATCGAAGGTAAGTACAAAGCAACAGTTAAGGGAGAGAGGAGAGAGAGAAAAAAACTCATCTTGACCAGTCGATGATGGGAGGAGAAGTATGAGAATGGAGAAGGAATTTTTTCATCTTTATTTCACCTTTACCTTTTGTAAAAATAAAATAAAATAAAATAAAAATAAAAATAATTACTGAAAATTCATGTCCGCACATGCTGACAGCGGCAACAAAGTAAGTCCGCCAGTGGGCCGATGTATACAACTCAATTATACTCCACTTTCGTGATTTGGTCAAAGGTAAAACTAATTACGTTAGGATTCACAACGATATTCTTTATAACTTGACTTCAAGTAATTGACATAGCTAATTATTCATTCAGTGTGAACACCTAATATAGGTTAAGATTATCGGTTAAGTGTATTTGCTTGATACGAATGAATGAATATGATCCATCTGAAGTTCTTTCTGTTATGGACCTGACAAAAGGCCCATATTCTAGAAGGACCAATAAAGGACAGCACAAAAGGAAGGGAATCTCCTATTAATGACAATCCTATCCAGACAGCTAAGCAGTTGGACTTGGGTCCTCAATATTCCTAAGAGGCCTGGCAGTACACTCCTATCAGGTAACCCTTCTATAAATAAAGGGTTAAACCAATAAGGTACACACACGCTCAAAACCCTCTCTCTTAGCTTGTCACTGTGCACACACCTCACGCCTTGGCTATGTCGATAATTATTGTGCACAGTGATCGGCCTACCCTCAAGGGTATCTCATTCATAGATACTTGAGAGAGGGCACCTAGATCCTACATAAAATATACCAGCCACCGGTTGGACATCTCTGTCTTTGAGATAGAACATTGGCGCCGTCTGTGGGGAACGAAAAACTTCGATTCCCACCCAATGGTGATAAAGGCGCAACAGCCGCCACATTCAAATCCTAAATACGCTGTACATGATAAAAGAAAGAGACTATTAGAGAGAAATATAGAAGCTGTTTCAATCAGCTAAATGAGGAATGTATAAACTTGATGAGATAACATAACTAGTTAATACATAGAACATAGCCATAATTTCAGTTTAAAAATGGTAAATTGTATTAAAACAATAACAAGTTCAAGTTTTAATTTTTTCACACAACCCTTATAGGATTCACTCCATTTTGAGCTATGGTACTCTGTTTCACAAGTTCAAGATAAAGATAAAACCATCATGATCTCAACTAATCACAACTAAGGCTTGTTATGTTTTTTTTCTTAAAGGAAAATAATAATGATGAACTTAGATTTATTCCCTTAAGGCCTTGCAAAAGAAAGTACAAACTTGAAAAGTACTAGTGTTCCAATTTTGGCTGAAAAGAATAAAAATCTTACTTGTTGAAATCATCAATCAAAAGGAGATGTATTTTTTGTTTTGACATTAGACACCATTTTTGTTGAATTTTTTTGCAATATTTGCGACCTCTATGTTAACACAAGACCTTGCTAAAACTGGATGCTTTTACATGACATGTTCAAACAAAAAATAGAAATGCAAAATGGTAGCATCAGCAAACTTAGCACTCAAAATCAACACAAAAGAACATGAGAAAGCTGAGGCATCGAAAATTATCAAATTCCTAAAGCACAACTTTGTTAAATTACGTCTTGTGCTAGTTTTAAGTCAATTGTGTCGGTTCAATTCAAAATAACATTACACTACCAAATAATGGCTAAAACTTTTCATTAACATACAAAATATTATGTTGACTTGAGAATCTCAGCAGTAAATATAGGGCTGGAAAAAAAATAAAGCTCATCGGATTGCATAGAAAGAACCAATTATACAGCTTTATATCCTGTAGTAAGAGTTTCCATTAGTAAGATTTTAGTTCTGGTAATTTTGAAAATCCTCTTGGTTTGACAGGCGCTGTGATGGTTACATTGAAGACATTATGGCTGGTGAGTTCCACCCCTACCATAGAATACGAGAGAACAGAAAGATTGGAAAAAAGAAAAAATTCAAACCATATACCATCTGTCTGTATGATTGATACCAAGTCCATTGCAGGTTAGGATCATTCCTTTAAATCTGGCAAGATATTCCTATGTAGCAATTAGACATGCCCACTGAAGGTAAGTACAAAGCAGCAGTTATGAGAGAGAGAGAGAGAAAAAAAAAACTCACCTTGGCCAGTCGATGATGGGAGGAGAAGTATGAGAATGGAGAAGAAATTTTTTCATCTTTATTTCACCTTTACCTTTTGTAAAATAATAATAATAATAATTACTAGCGGCAACAAAGTAAGTCCGGGGTTTAATTAGGGATGTGCATAGGTTGAACCAAACCGAATTTTTTGAAAAATTTGAATCGAATTGGTTTAAACAGTTCGGTTCAAAAATGGTTCGGTTCGGTTGGAAACTGGTTTGGTTCGGAATCGGTTCAGGTCGACCCTATTTTGAAAAGAAAAAAAAATTAAAAAATTAAAAATAAAGTTATAAAAATCAATTTGGTTCGGTTCGAAAATGGTTCGGTTCGGAAAAAGTTCGATCCTTAAACTGGTTCTAAAAATCGGTTCGGTTCATGAACTGGTTCTTTAAAAATCGGTTTGGTTCATGAACTGATTTTTTAAAATCAATTATTTTAAGTGCAGTTCAGTTTAATTCATGGTTCGGTTCAATTTTTTGGTTATTTTACACTCCCCTAAGTTTAACTGTAACATGGGCAAATTATTAACTATTTTTTAGGTAAAAGGATGTAGTTTAGTTTAAAATCACATGGATTAATGATTTTTTCATTATTTAATATTATCAAAAAAATATCGTTATATATATATATATATATATATATATATATAATAGAATAAAAATATCGAAATTTAAGGAGACATTACGCTCAATTTTTGTCGCCTTTCTTGCTTTTTCCCTCGTATCAACGAAGCGAAGGGAGAAAAAAAAACCAGCTAAAGAAAACATGTAAAATATCAGGCATAATGGAAGAAAAATGCTTTGTATAAAAGTGGTAATAAAAAATTTACTAATTACTTTCCCTTACATTTAATATTTTCCTTCATAAAATATTATATTTTGAAAAAAAAAATTATTTATAATTTTTTTTTCTCGACATGAGCACGACTGCGGTCAAAGAAAAGAAAAATAATTAAACAAAAGGAAAAATGTTTATCCTTTAAATGACATAATTGATACCCTTTAAACACTTTTATTTTTTTTTGTCAACTCTCTCTTCTATAATCTATCTTTCTTTCACTTAAAAAGATATAACTTTATATTCTTTAAAATCATACACACTTTTCCCTTAAACAAAAGCTTAGTATATACATAGTTGCTCCAATGTGTTGGTTGTTA